GAGCATGTTATGTGGCTTAATTACATACAGTATGTTTCAATCATTACTCAAATCCCACAATTTACCTTTGAAGGTGAAAGCAGAGCTAGAATATCTAGCGTCTGCTTTAAGTCTAAATGCTTTTCTTCAGAAAACTGAAACTGCAATTCAAGGCACTCTCACAGGTGTTTTTTCACCTTAAGATTAAGTTTAAGTTCGATCAAATCTCCTATAGGATATTTCAAGCGCTTGTGCTGGAAGCATTTCATAGATGAAGAATGAAACCTATCGTTGGACTGAGAGAGCAGGGTCAAGCAATCGGTCCTAGTGACCAGAATGTCAGGTCTTCACAGTGATGGCATGATAGTGGCTAAGAAGGTGTTGCATTAAGACACATATCTGCAGCACCAGCCTATTGATTTTCTATTGTTACCTGTACACACAGGAGCTATGTACATACTAACAAGAATTCATATACTGTATACACATGGCAGATTATATATAGAGGTGATATGAGCAACTATTTATATGAACACAGCATGACTGAGAAGTGCATTATGTACATTTGATAAATGGTAAAGTAATGACAAATATCTGTACATTTACATCTGATTGGGCTAATTACATATACATGTGTAAATGTACTATTACTACCATTACACTACACTCAAGGATTATGTACTGTTATTAACATGAGGTATATTGATGCAAAGGAAACGACATAAAACTCAAGAATGGAACCAAGTATGTACATATGGTTACACACATGCTGGTTACAGTATATACAGTATATGCACATAAGACTGACTAGGACTATGATATTTCTTTTGGTAACAGAGATGGAAGCCACAGTGCTACTCAGATTAGAGAGTCCTGGCTTTGGCGTCGGCTGGCTGATATGACGTAGCTGGAATTGGGCTTGGGGTATCCCGAGCAGAGGGCACAGCAGGAAAGGCAAAAACTCCTGAAGGGCGAGGGAAGTGCAACGCAGGCCACTGAGTAACAGAGAGAGGCGAGGCCCTGAAAGGAGCAGGACAGTGTAGCTGATAGGTTGGAAGAGGCCCTGTGGAGGGACTGGTCATCAGTGTTGACTCAGGGCTGTCAGGCCATGACAGGGGCAGACTGCAGGCCTCTAGACCTGGGACTATCCATGATGAGACCTACAGGGGTGAGACAGTGGGCAGATTTTCCACTTTGATTAACTACATTTATACAATGCAACCAATAATGTTGGTAAATAGACACACTGTGTACGGTATGTGATGTGGAACTTCTGCCAAACTGTAAACCGTGCACATTTGTGTGTATATATATATGTGAAGGCCTTCTGTCAGTTTAAGGGCCCAGCTAAAAATTAAAGGGGACAGGGCATTTGCCATGAGGGCCCTAATGCTCGGGAACACCTTGCCAGAGGAAATCAAGGTAGTTAAGTCAGAAACTCCTTCTTAAAACACGCTTTAATCAAAGAGCCTTTCCTGATTTTATTTAAGTTTTTTTAAACCAATTTTTATTTGCTGCCTTGTAAAGCACTTTGTAATGTAGATTTTGAAAAGTGTTTTTAAATAAAAGATGATTATTATTATTGCTATGTGTTTCTGTGCTTGTGGTTTATGTCTGTAGGGTGGATGTGTGGTGAGATTCTTCACAGTCTGGATGGACAGATTTTTTTTTTTTTTACTTTTTTTTGGTTGTTATTGCAGCATTTTCTTATATTTTATCAATTAAATTTTTCTGTACATGTTACCTATTGCTGTTTGTAACTAACTAATTAAATTAATAAATAAATAGCATGACATTCCACTGGAAATGACATGACTGGTAATGAATACAATAAATACAATTTCCTTGCAGTGTGATGGCACAAACCACGAATACAAGTGGTTTACAAAGCCTTTTTACTAGTGAGATTCTAATAATTTAAGGCATTTTAAGTCTTTTACTTGTGCGTAGTATTAATTCAACTTTTTTCATTTGTAATCTCACCCACAGTAATTCTAGGTGATCAGCCTCATTATCTAAAGACTGGGTGCCATATGCAGGACTCACTTTTTTACAAACTAAACCCTGGTAATGAGTGTTTAAGATTTTATTTATTTTGTTTCTTTTGACCACAAGGTTGACTGAACACAAACTGGTACATAATTAGCATGAGACGCACATCTGAAACGCTAGCCAGTTGTTCATGTGTTCGAGGCGCAACCTGATCCCATAGCCGCTGCCCACTGATGCTCAGAGAGTTAGTGTGCGGCATGTGGGTGACAATAAGGACCTCCTGGGCCCAGTCGTCCATCAGCCTTTGCAAGTCATCAGGCAAGTTGCTTTCATTGGCACTGATGGATTTGCCACTGTATGTGCCTGTCTTATTGTTGCTGTTGTTGGCCTGTGCTTGGGCGAGTCCCATCACTGGCTGATGAGATGGGGGTGTGGCACCATTAGGAGGCTGCTGTGACTGACTGAAAGCCCCTGTTGCAGCTGCAGGCCCTGAAAGGACACATACATACAGTAAGCATACCATGTATTCATGTTTAATGAACTGATGAGACTAATATGAAGTAACATGACTCCTTTTACTGAGACACTGTAATTCTACATACTGCTGCCACGGTCTTTGCCGAGACACAGTCGTTTCAATGTTGACCCTATAAGACAAAAAAAAGAGACATTATACAAACGATAATTTCCATTAGCTGCTAATAATGATCAGTAACAGGAAGCATTGCAAACACAGAGCAAAGAAACAAACCAAAAACCAAATTAACAAATGACTTAATAAAGCCATCAGTCCCCTGAAACAAAACAGTCCATTTGTTAGGGAAATTATGTAGGTGGCCCAGGTGAAAGTCATATCAAAGTGCAGTACAAAAGTGACAGAAAGACAAAGAAAAAGGAGATAGAGGTTATAAAATGATAGTATATTGAAATTTTATAGCAGATTGCATGTGACATGCAGACATCTATTGATAGTAATGCAGGTGGATAAGTCACAAAAATGTGTATGTTACAAAGTGAATAAATAGCATGAGTATTATATCAGTCAGAGACACGTGAAATGTGCAACAATGTCCATTACTAATACAATGGACCCTGACTACCCTGGTCTAATAAATATGAAGAGACTGGTAAAAACAATTAACTATTATAATGGACAAATATTTTGGCCTGTTTTTATTAATTCACAATTAACATAGAAAAACACATTTAAAATACATTTAAAAATAAAATAAAAAAATCAATCAAAACTTACTTCTTCAAAACAAGCTTTACTAATCAGGGTTTTGAATAGATAATATCTTTCTTTGCAAGACAAAATAGGAGACAAGGGCAAGTGATATGGCCAACACGAAGCAAAGGTAAACTCAAAGGTGCTGCAGAACAGTTTGGCAAAGACAAATAAAAGATATCAGTAAGCTAAAAGAAGAGAAACAGAAAATATGTAAAGCAAAAAAGTGAAGCTATGCAGGTAGAGAAGAGATACAAACAGATAGACAGAGACATAGGCCCACTGAGAAATCTGGCTCGTGGTTTGCTACTGGATTTATAGGTCACTCTCTCAGATGGTCGAGGGTAATTAGGCCAGCCTGTAGAGGAATATAATCAAAGACACCGGGGTAAGAATGGCACATATTGATAGCAACCTTTTTAAAGTGTTTCTTCTTTATTCTCTGGTGAATCTAGATACAGCATTTATAGTATTAGTGGAACGATTGTGCAGCCAAGATGTTCTGCTTTGTGTTGCTGCTACTCACCTTGTCCGGTTGGCGCTGGTGTGCCAGTGCTGTCTCCATGTAGTCCGGTATAAATATTATCAGAGGACAAAGAGCCCTTGAGAGAACAGGGCTGCTGAGTCTGCACAGGCTCTGAGGTTGAGCTGGGAAGGTGGCTGGTGCATGATCGCGGCCTACCATGAGGGTCTAAGAGCCCCTTTGCTGGAGAGCCATTTAAACTCACTGTGGGCTCACCTTTAGCTGTAGCAGCACCTGAACACATACACAGGCATCACAATAATATATTCTTTGGTCTTGCTGTAAATATTCAACTTATAATACTGGAGATTCTGAAATGGCACTCACTGGATCTGCTGGTGTCACTAGTTTTGGTTGTGACATTTCTAAATTGTTGAACCAGAGGGCTGAGAAGTTTGCCAGGCTTCAGTCTGTGCTTGCTGGACCTCCTTCTATGGCCGGCATGAGGTGCAACGTGTGAGAGACCCAAGACAGTAGGAGGGACTTTGCCAAGACGGCGATAGAGCAGTTCCACTTCTCCCCGCTGATGGGCCTGCAGCTCAGAAATCTCCTTCAGATGTCTGAGGGGAAGAACATACTGGTCACTTGCAAGCTAAATGTCAAAATATTTTCCTGTAAAGACACTAAATGGGGCAAAGTGTAAACCACTGGCTGTGCCTACTTCTCCCTGAGTCTCTGTAGTTCCCTTTTTATGTCTGAGTCCTCCATTTCCGAATCATTGTCGCTGCTGGCATAGGCTGAACCATGAATGCCTCCGTGCCTATTTGGTGAATCAGAGCTCTGCACACTGCTGCTGCGCCCAGAACGACGGAGGAAGGCCACTGCCCTCTTCATGAGGTCGCTTCCTCTGCGCTCTGAGCGAGCATGATGAGACGGGGTGGCAGGAGCCAGCTTCGCAGGGCTGCTCTCAGCCCCTGAGTCTGAGGAAAGAAAGCGAGCATGGACCGTGACATCCACGGGGACAGAGGTCGAAGTCATGGCACGAGGCAGAGAGCCCCGCTTGGCCATGGAAGGAGGTGTGTCCAGGTAGAAATCAGGTGGGGCAGAGTAGCGGCTGCAGCGCATCCTCTGTGTAATGTCATCTTCAGTGCTAACTACAGAGAAACGGCCAATTGTGGTGGAGGTGGTCATGGCCTCAACCTGAGCGTGGTCCCCACCGTATCCTACAGGGTGTGCAGGTGAAGCAGCACTGCTCCAGCTCCTTTGTTTCACATCTCGTCTGTTGGTCATTTCAGGTGGAACAGATATTACCTACCAAAAGCAAAGAACAGACTGGGTATTCATACAAAATCATGATGCAGTTAAGCTAATCAAAAACAGTTCTACCTTCCTCCTAAATGCAGAGAAAATCTCCCTTTTCTACCTTAAATCGACCTCTTGTTCCAGAGCAGGAAGCAGAGTGAGGAAGATGTCTTCTTGACAGAGAAGCTGCAAAAGTGTTGATAACAGTGAATACTGTGAAACCACAGTAATGGACAGTAACACATAAACTCATACAGAAGTAATACTGCCAGTCATGTTAGAGTGTTAGTGCTTACAGTACATACCGCACACGGCTGAGTCGCTCAGCGTGCTCAAGCTATCCATTCGCTCTGGAATTTGAGGCTAACAGGTGTCAGGGGGAGAGAGAAAGAAAAGAGACATGAGAAAACAACAAAACAACCCATTAATCATTTTCCCATCATACAACTGTTAAAACAAACCCTTTCAAATATATAAAATTTGTACAGGAGAGCAGATTTTATTTTGCAATATGTTGTTGGAAAAACAAATACAATTTCAGAACTGACTCAGCTATTTTAATACATAAACTACATCTAGAAAGAAGCTTAATCTAAGTTAATTATTTAAGGTTTTCTGCTGTAAAAGGTTTGTTCACACCAATAATACCTGTAAAAAGAAAAGAAAACATGTCTGTATTTTCAAAAAGATGATTTGAAATACACACCAAATACTTTTTCAGCTGTCAAACTCAGTAATCAGTATATATGAGAATACTATGCCTGTAATTTATATTGTTTAAAAAATAACAGGCTGACTGGGTCTTTAATTGTACTTACCAGCTGTTCTCCTACCCTGTAGCGTCCCTCCCCCATCAGCCCTGGCGTGCTGTTTCCTGACCCTCCTGCGGCGCTGTCTGGACCAGGAGGTGACTGGATGTACTCAGTGCCAGATCCTGGTGTCTCTGCAGCACTGCCTGATGGGTACATGGGAGCATACTCCTGATAGAGCAAATTCCTTAGTTTCTCATCCAGAGTTTTTATGGTGCTGTCTACAAAGCCCCCGCCCCCGCGGCCCAGACGTCCTTCACCATCTGACTCCCCGGGCCCTGCACCGTGCTGGGTTGGTGCTGGGCTCTGGGGCAGTGAAGACACTTTGGTCCCTGCCATGCTGGAGAAAGGCTGCTGGAGCACCACAGGCTGCTGCGGCCGCTCACCTCGTGCAGCAGAGGCGTATGAAGCAGACAGTGGCTCTTTGGCTAAACCTTGCTCCTGGAGCGGAAGTGGGGTGAGAGGAGACCCAACCTGTGAACCACTGACATCCAGAGACAGGGGCATGACCAGAGGGCAGCAGGGCATCTCTTCGATCAGAGAAACAGGGCATGTCATATCAGGCATCTGCTGAGCAGCATGGGTTGGGGAGATGGAACCTGGAGGGGACCCCTGTGACTCGTTCACCGGGAAAGACGTATGTGTGGAGGATGGGGGCAAAGTTTGAGCTCTGGCTGACTGGGCCTGATAGGCACTGGGCTGCACCAAGCTACCCGCAGGCTCCACTGATGGTACAGACTGAAGGGTTGGTGGAGCAGACACAGGAGGAGACAGAGCTGCCAAGAGAAGTGGGTCTGTGTTGGACATTACTGGAGGACTGCAGAATGCATACACATCATAGGAGAAGCCTAAACTTCCACCAGACATTGTGGATGAAGAGCCCTCTTCTGTAGAAAAAATAAAATTAAGAAATGTATAAAAGATTGCAAGATTCAACAATATGTAACCTTTATGTTGAATCTTTCTATAAAGTCATTAGTTGCCCATGAGAGCTGTAGGATGTCTTTCATTCTGCTGCCACAAGGTAGTGCAGTTGATCCATGAAGCTGTCATATATTGTGCTGTGGAAACAAAGTCACCTCTGGATGCAGATGGCCTTGCAGTGCCACTGTCAGCAGGCTGGGTAGTGGCTGAACTCCCAGGCGACTGTGTAGCTGTGCCTTCTGATGGGGTCTCTTGGCTGGATGTGGGTGTCTCCTCCACAGGGCAAATTATGAACCATCTCTTTCCTGTGTGGAGAACTGCAATCCAAGACTTCAAACATTTACCACCCATGTTCTCATAAGCAAATATGACAACTCAATTACTAGACACACAGCTGGTTACATTTTTGAAAGAGTTTTTTTTGTTTTTTTTTTGTTTTACCATTCTGCTGATAGACAGGCTGAGGTGCTCCAGACTGCTGCCTCTGCAGAGTAACAGACACATGTGCGCTAATATGCTACTTGTCACTTTGTATTTATTTGTATATATCCATGTCCATGAATATGTCCCTGTCCATGTCTAAATGAATGTATAAGCATGTGTAGTGTATACTTTATGTATATATTCATATCCTTGTCCACCCCTTCATACCTCTCCTACCAGCCCTTCAGCCATTTGGCCTTGTTGAGGACTACAACTCAAGATGGAAGCCTGTTCACCCTCCATGTCTTCATGCAGCATGTCTTCAGCTTTATCTACAATATCCTTAAGCTGATCAATGAAGACTTCTTTCTCTAACAGTAGGATAAAGCCATTCTCAACCTGTTGGCACACAGTTTTAAAGGTGTTAAACAATGTTATAAATACAGTGTAACCAACAGACATGACAAAAACTATAAACTGTAAAAGGCTGAACTAACCATATAAGTAGCAATTTCCTCTGGAGCATCTCCATCAAGATCAAACTTAAATGTCACCATTTTGTGGTTGTGAGTCTCCAGCTGGCATTCAACCATTTTATCACCAGTGTTGCAAACCTGTGGGTGCAGGTGTTACAATCAGAAACATTATGATATAAAGAAACTGTAGCTAAAGTTGCCACAAATTATACCATGACTCACATTGAGCATGCTCAGCTTCGGCTTGCTGGTCTTTTCTTGCCGGGAACGTGTGCGGGTCGACTTGCGGTGGTGTTTTCTGGGTTTTCCGTCACCTTTCCCCCCACTAGCGAAGCTATCATAGCCATCGCTTGTTTCCTTACCAGATGCCACATCAGAGCTGAAACTATAAAAGTTTAAAAACACTTTATCACTTCTGGTTTCTGACATGTTTTCACCACTTTGTGTTACTTGTAAAGATTCAGCCTGTAAAGTCCCACACCTGTCATAAGCATAGCTGGGTAAAGATACTGGTTTGTCCTGAAGCATATCCTGAAGAGAGAAAAATAGGCATGTGCAGCAGTTATGTAACCTTGGAGAAGTTTTATTTTAGACGCAATGTAAACTGCGAGACAATAGCGTACAAGTCTTAATGTTAATGATGCTAGTTGCTTTTGACCTGAAAGTCTTATCTTTATCTCAGAAGGAGATGGTTTCAGTTTTCATCCAGAAAATATAATTATTTTATAAATTTGCGTGTGTGTATAGATCAATATTAAACAAAAAATGTGATTATTTTGGCTTTATTCCTACCTCTACACAAGGCTCTTGTTGAAAAGTATGAGATGCAGATGTAGCTTCAAGGTTTTGCTGAGCATTGACCAGGCTGGCACTCTCAGGCACCGAAACAGCTGTCTGGATCCCAGCAGGCTGCAGAACTAGAGCTGGGACTGAAATTATAACAGAAGCTGGGGGTGGAGCAGGAGCTGCAGATTGAATTGAGGCTGGCAGAGTGACAGGGATTGGGACTGAGACCAACCCTGGGACTGAAAGTGAGGGTTTACCAGTGATAGATGTGTCAGCAGTTGTAGATGAGACAAAAGTAGGATCCGATGCAGAGACTGGTGCTTGCGCTGGGGCTGAGGCTGAAGCTGGCACTAATATTGGAACCTGTATTGGGACTGAAGTTGGGGCCTTAACAAGGGTTGAAGCTGGAGGCAGGGCTGCAGCTTGTGTTGATGCTGGGCCTAGTGGTTGGCTTTGTGCTGGGATCAGAGCTGGACTTTGTGTTGGGGTGTGGGTGTCAACCGGTACTGTAGTTGAGACTGAGATCAAGGCTGGGGCTGGAACTGGAGCTGGAACTGTGGGAGCTGCAGTTAAGTCTAAGCCTGTTGCAGTAGTTTCTTCATCTATTCTGCTTCCCCAAAGAGGAGTCTGAACAGCAGGCAATATAGGGTGAACCGGAGCCAAAAGCTGAACATCTCCCAAACTCCCCTGTGGAACAATCGTTTGTACCTGAAAGAAATGCCACATTTAGGGAATTGTTTGTCAGTTAATACAAACACTGTTCACCTCTATAACCTCAAACACATATCGTGAATGCATTATACTGGTTAAGCTATACTGTCACCTTAGTATTCCCCATGACCCAACCATTTTTGTGAGAATTTAGCCAAATATTCACCTGGACAGGCTGCTCAGCCAGTTCCTGCTCAAGGTGGGGGGCAGGGTGTGGGGCGGGTTGTACCTGGGAGAGAGGTAAGGGATGGGTGGTACGGAAGTTACAAAGGTTGGGCTGAGATATGGGAGGGCCACTCTGCTGATGGAGCACCGCAGGGACCATGGTGCGAAGCGGAGTGGGGAGTGCCACGCTGGGCACATACTGGGATGTGGACAGAGGTGTCTGAGGAGTGCTGAGGGTAGGTGTAGAGGGCAAGGCAGCATGAGGGGTCAGAGGGAGGGATGGGTGGCGGAGTGAAGGTGTGCAGTAAGTGCTAGACATAAGAGGGCCACTGCTGCTGTAGGCAGCTGGCAACTGAGCTGATAAGATGGGAGGGGGCTCATGGCCTGTTTGAACAACAGGATATGGTGAAGGAAACTGGGAAAGAAAAGGGGAAAATGTATATAAAATGAACAAAAACAACCAGTTGATAAAGACAATATTCACACAGGCCCTGTATGATTTACTCAACCCTGAACTTTTGTAGTTTGTTTGTCTTGTGTTTTTACCACAACATACTTGTGTGCTGATCTGCAGGGGCAGGAGTGGGGGTGGAGCACTGGACACTGACTGTGGAAAACTGGTAGGCATGTCAGGTGGACTCAGATGAGACGTAGGCTGGTCAGAAGATAATAACTAAGGAAGGAAATCCAACATTTCTTTTTCATTTTGACCGTAGAGTATGACTTTTGTGATGGAAACACAAACTAATTCTCTATTAAATCAATATGAAATTCTGGTGTAAAAGCTTCACTTCAAAGGATAAGACCAGACATTTTTTATATTAAGGGAAAATTATTACCATACAGAGATTAAAGCTGACAATTATATGTGCCTCTACTCAAGGTTAATGTCTGTCAGCTGTCAGTCCTTGATTAGCTTGTTCATTTGTACCATAGACCACCGTTGTTGTTCAAAAATGATTTCAAGCACATCAGGGAAACATACCGCTGCACTGGGTGACATGTTTTTTCATTATGAAATCTCAGACCCAACCATGTTTCCCCAAAGGCTCTAAGCAGTCACCATTTCCTGAAGTTAGCACAAGTCAGAATCAACTGCGCATTTACAAGCTCTTGTGCAAGCTTCCTGCTTCGTTTACACTGCACTAGCTCCTCACACTCGGGTCTGGAGTTTGCTAATGAAGAAACATGTCACCCAGTGCAGCAGTGTGTTTCCCTGATGTGTTTTTAATTGTTTTTGAACAACACGGAGGTCTGTGGCACAGACAAACAAGCTGACCGAGGTCTGATAGACGGACATTAACAATGAGTGTTTAATGAGAGTGGAGGCAATTCATTGTCAGTTTTAGTCTCTGTAAGGCGAGTGTTGAAAATACTGTTAATATAGAAAAAGACTGGTCTTATCCTGTAATAAAAGTCAGTTGCAAGGAAGGCAGAAGTAAAGAGATGATGGTTCTACCTGGGGCAGGACAGCAGCTGGCTGGAGATGGCACTAAAGGGGAAGATAAATGAGAGGGGTATACATCACATACACCATATACTGTATGAATAAGTAATTAAAAAGGGTAATCAGGTGCACTCTGTACTCACATTACACAGATACCCTACAAATAGTGTGTTCTCAGATGACTGGGGCATCTAAATGACACAGTAATTTCCTGTATGTTTGCATGTTTTAGTTAAGCAGCATAACTCCAATAGTCAACGGTCAACACTGAATGCCCACTATGGAAGTAATAATTTTTAGATGTCAAAGAAACAAGGTTAATGTAAGCGTACAGCATTAACAGGTAATGGGATCCAGATAAATGTTCTAGCCAGCAGCTCTGAGTGGTCTGCAGTGGGTGACTTCCAAACGGTTGCTTCCTAACACAGCTTTTTGTGCCTCACTACAGCTGTTGCCAGGGCCTGTCGCAGTAAGCTCTATGCAGTACCTGCTCCTGGCTGGGTTGGACAGTAAGCTCCGGCTGTAGAGTGGGGGCTGCAGCTGGGAAGCTCTGTGCTGTGTGTCCACTTTGTTGCGCAGTAGGGGCTGGTGTAGCTGGAGCAGAAACTATCTGTCACAGACACACAAGAGAGGCGACATCTAATGGACCTTGCTTTTAGATATACTGTACTATGACTCACTATGCAACAGAAGATCATGTTTGTATTGTAACAAATCAAGCTCAAGGTTAAAATATTCAGTGTGTCATAAGAAAGACATCAGCCACGGATCATGTCCACTGCCACACACTCTGCTAGCACATTATTTGGATGCTGCCACACCTTCCTCTCCTCCTCCTTATCTAAAAATGACAGCAGAACCCTTATTGTGAATTAAGAAGCAGAGACTAGGTGTTGCACTTTTCTGTCAGCATGGAAAGACAACAGGAGTGAAGCAGCTGGTAGAATCATGAAGGCTACAGCAGGTTGCTGCAGTGTCAGCATTTAGCCTGAATGAAGTCTCCTTCTCTGACCTACCAATGGATCTGGTCTGGTTTCACTGTCATGTGGTGATAACAGCAGGTTCCTGTCCAGAGTTGGCCTCCAGGCTCTGACTCCTGTCTACATGTCTGACTACTAAAGATTTAGTAACCCCAGCCTCACCATGGCTGTCCAGTGAATGATTAGTTCCAATGTCAGAGAGGGTGGGAGCACTGGTCCTATGAGTGACAGTGTGTTGGAGACAGCGGT